TCGAGTCGGCCCCGACTCATAGCGACCCCTCCTTGGGTTTCCAAGGCAGTATCACTACGGAAGTAGGATTGCCCAACCTTCCTTCCGAGGAGTGTTGCTTTGATCGGACTGCCTCTAGTGGGAAACTTTGTCTGCGGCAGCCAGCTTGAGTTGACTTCATGCTGCCATACAGCCACACCACCTTCCAGATGGGTCTTCCTAAATCACCGATTACCTTAGCTTGGCACCCAGACTGGCTCTTGCTTCTTGTTGTTGTTGTGTGCCGTCGAGTCAGACCTGACTCATAGCGACCCCTCCTTGGGTTTCTGAGGCAGTATCACCATGGAAGTAGATTGTCTTTTTGTTAGCTGCCCTCAAATCATGAGGCCCTCATGCAGAAAACACTGCCTGGTCCTCCTGTGTCATCTCCATGATCATTTGCACATTGGGCCATTGTGATTTATAAGGTTTTCATTGGCTGATTTTCAGAAGTAGCTCACCAGGCCTTTCTTCCCTGGAAGCTCTGCTGAAACCTTTTTGATATCACAGCAACATGCAAGCCTCCTCTGACAGACAGGTGGTGGCTGTGCATGAGGGGCATTGACTGGGAATTGAACCTGGGTCTCCCTCCCGTGTGGAAGGCGATAATTCTAGATAGAACCACCAATGCTTCTAATCTTGTCTTTATGGCTTACTGCACCCCAGCCAAGCTGTTAATAATCTTCGTGATTGTCAGGGCAGAATTTGCCCCTTTTGTCTTCAGTCGTGTTATTCCCTTCTACTTAAAATTTCCTCCACCCCTCTTTCTGCTTACTAACTCTCCCCACGCTTCCATCCCCGCCCCCCCTTCTGTACCTCTTCCTGATTGAACTCTTCCTCTCTGAACTCTGATTACATTCACTTTCAGTCCTTTGTACATGGCACTTGGCATGTGATTTGACTGTTGGCCTGTCTTTCTTTGTCCTAATGTTGTGACTAGATTATAAACTGCTTAATAAATGGACTATATCTTACGCCTCTTTGAAACTCTAGCACTTTGTACAGTGTCTTACACAGAAAATGTTCAGTTTTTGTTCATCAAAGGAAAGATAATATCAGGTATATAGTGAATTTGTACACAAAGAAGTCTGTAGGTAAATATGTATATGAAGCTTTATTTAAATATCTTTTTTATCATTCCCTGGATGGTAAAACTTTTGTTAAAAGACATCTTATCTCTGAATAATAAGAATTATTATTTATATGAATTACCGTTTTTAATATCTACAGCTCTGGTAGCGTAGCGTCTAAGGTACTTAACTGCTAACCAGAAGGCTGGCGGTTCAAACCCACCAGCCACTCCTCAGAAGGAAGATGGGGCAATCTACTTCCATAGTGATAC